AGGAGGGGGGGGGGGGGGGGGGGACACTTTAAAAAACTGTGTTCTCCAAATATGGCTTTGCATAGATTCTCCAAATCGACCTGGAGTCCAAGCAAGTGACAGATTTGCCAAAATAATTCAGAATAATACATCTGAAAATAATTCAGAATAATACAAAACATTCAGAGGCTGAAAACATAAAAAACCCTCAATCAATAATTCAAAATAATGTTGTGATTTTCTGTAAAAAGTATTTTACCTCTTTCTCCACTTACATTCAGAGGTCAGTCATCTCTTGCTCTATATGCACTGTTTTTAGTTTTGTCAGTTGTTTTCCCCCTTCATCTTCCACTTCTCTCATCTCTCCCTTCCCTCCCTCTGAAACCGCACATAGGAAGTCTCCATTTAGGTTTGAGGTCATCTGGGCATCATGACCTCTGAACTCACTGGTAAGGTCCGTTTGGGCGAGTAAGGGTGCGCCCACTGTGAGAGTGGTGTAGTCTTGCTGGGTGGTTGTCATGGTGGTGTTAAGTGTGGTGGGGGAGCTGTGGGTGGGGTCAGGACTGTAACTCAGGTGGTAAAGGTATCCACCAGGAGTCTCCAAAGGTTCCTTCTTCACGGCAGACAGTGTGTGTACGCTACTTAGGCTGTAGAGTGCTGTGCTGGGCTCAAGAGAGGTCAGCTGTAGCCTGTACTGCTTCTCCACCTGGTTGTGGCACAGAGAGGCGGGAGCAGGAGAACTGCCATCAGCAACGCCTGACAGAAAGAGGAATGAGAAATGACAGAAGATGAGAGAGAGGATAAATCTCTCCAACCTTTTCAGTGGTATACAAATATTAAGGATATACAGTTCACATTCAATTATTATTTGGTTCATGGGTCAATGACCACAACAAAAAAGGGGAAAACATTTTATGACCTAACATTTCCCTGTCATAAAAGGTCAAATTTTGTGACTTTTAATGCAAGGATGGATTAAATTAAAGGTGACAGTAAAGACTTTTATAATGTTACAAAATATTAATATTTCAAATAAATGCTGTTCTTTCTTTTCATCAAAGAATCTTGAAAAAATAAGATACTTTCAAAAACAATATAAAATCTTGTCGACCCCAAACTTTTGCACACTATTGTACATATTATCTAATAAAAAATAATAATAGAAAATTATGCCACTTAATAAGGATTCCTTTTCAAGAATTTCATTATTTTAAAGCAATATCAGGACAGTTGTATAACCATGGCATTTTATTTCTTTATTTAATATTTAATAATTAAATATATTCAATATAGAAATTAAAAACATGCTCATCGCAAAATAGGTGTATTTACGTCATTGTGTATGAGTTGTACTTTTAATGTATTTGACTATTTTTCAATAAATTAGTAAATAGGAACAAAATGAACATCATGTCTTTGACGCTCATAAGAAACAAAACACACTTGTGGTCTTCTCATCCTGCTCAAAGGAATGAGGCTATCTTTGATGAGACTCACTAACCTTGTGTGACTGATGAGGGTGAAGAAGATGATGAGAGTTGCAAGGGAGAAAGTGCCATCTTGTTACTAAGCAGCGAGGTCCCATTGCCTTCAGGAACCAAGTTGTAACCTTCAAGCTGCAAGCCGTTGGATGGGGTGACAGTGAATGCCGAGCTAATGGACGTGGTCTGGTCCTGGACCGACACATCCTGCCTCACATCCTCTGCTTTCACCTCTATGTCTGTCCCATTCACATTGCAGTGAAATGAGGGGTACGCCAGTGCAGGTTCTGCCATTACCCCTTTATCCTGTCCTGTACCATCTATCTCCACATCTGCCATTGATCTGCAAGCCAGGGACTGGAGTCCCAAGTTCATGCCGCTGAAGAGGACATGTCCTGTGGTGGGGAGTAATGAAGGGGTGCCGTTGTGGAAAACAGAGGTGGGAGTGTTGACTGAGACTCCGTTAAATATGACGGACGGTGGCGAGACAGAGGTCCTGCTGTCTCCAGCCTGTTGGACGATGACCCCGGCCTCCAGAGCTCCAGAGCAGAGAGGCACAACTACATTGCCCATGGTCCCGTCAGCACAGGTTGACATCGGACATGGGGACAGAGACTCCTGACCTTTACTGCTCTCATCCTCCGTACTGTGATTTCCATCTGACTCACTGAGAGAGAGTGAAAGACAGAGAGTTGAGGGACAGTAAACCTTTGTGTCTTCACTACACTTTTACTCCTTATAACAGATTTGTGTTCTGTATATGTAAACATCTTAAGTACGTTTAAGTATTTATTAATACTTGTTAAATTCTTGAATTGCTGTTTTCTTTTTTATTATTTAATTCAATTTTATTTTATATAATTTTAATTGATAATACTACTTTATTATTTTGCACAATTTCTTATTGCACTCAGCTGAACTAATAAGATTTCACAAACTGAAAATGCTTTGGCATTACAAAATCAGTGTTAGCAACACCAAGGTCATGGGTTCGATTCCCAGGGAAAGCAAGAACTGATCAAATGTGGATGTGTACCTTGAATGCCATGCAAGTCTTTCTGGATAAAAGAGTCTGCCAAATGCATAAATGTACAATTAACAATGAAACAGAGTGCAGCTTCAGACAGGACTGCTGGACAAGAACCAACCAAATAAAAAAAGCTAGAAAAAAATGCATTTTTGTTCCATTAGGAAAATTAAAGTAGAAATGAAAGCAAATTGTATTATTATCTGTGTTCGCTGTGACGATGGTAAGGTTGACAGGCACACTTTAAATGTTAAAATACAAGAGGGAAATACTTGGATAAACCCTCAATCCTCATTCAGTATTTCTAAACTGTCTGAAAAAGATCAAATCCAGGTGTCCATATTCATTTGAATTCTTTCTTAAACGCAGAGTAGTCTAAATGTCCATTAATATCTATAACTCGCTGAAAGATTTTTTTTAATATTTTTTATTGCATTTTGGATTTGGAATTACTATTTTTTGACACTGCTGTTGATGCTTTTGCCAGTATTGTATGCTAAACACTCGTTCCAATGAAGTAGGCTCTGAAAGAGTGGGGGAATATTGAATTATTACTTTTCATTCTTTGCTAAACTGTACATGAGCGCGGGCTGACGCAGGAAGATGTAGACGGGAGCGCGCATAGACAAATGGATTGGTGAGTATCCACTTCACACCGCGGGACCCGCTAGATCACAGCTTTCATGTGTCAGCGGTAATCCTGTCTATAGCCTACTACAGACTCTTTTTACGCACGCACGCACACCATTTTGCGCAATAAGTCCTATGGAGACACAACCCTGCGAACACAGCATGAATTCACAAATGGTAAGCTCTCTGACCACAGTGCCCTTCGCCAAACGGGGATGGGTCGCCAGTAACGAAAGGTTAAATTTAGCGGATATTTTAAAGTACGATACAGCACGATTCATCCACTATATTTCAAAGTGCCGTCAGCTGTTCAAACATAAATTCGTTTGGTTGAGAGAGAAGGGCGCGTTTAGTGAATGACTGCAGCAGCTGCGTGACTCCTACAGGACTTCAACAACTGTCATGTGTTCCTTCTCCAAAAGATTTAGGCATTTTATTATTATTTATTTTTTAGTGATAACGTCATTACATGTCATGTTTGGGAGATTAAACACAAGACGCGTTCTGTCTGTCTGTACATGAGTTTTGGCCGTTGCGTCGCGTTTTTAACCGCGTCTCGAGATCACTGCGTTCTGTTCTATTCCTTAATTCTCTATTTCTTATTCCTTCTTCCATTTCAGTATTGTTAAATAATTATCTCGTTGTTTATTTTAATAGGGTTTATAATAAAGTTAAAATATATTGAACTTTCAAACATATTTCAAAATGTATTTTCAAACTCTGGTGATCTATTAAACATTATAAAAGATAATAATGTTTGTTAATAATAAACATGTTATCGAGTACATCTTTTTTATAGAGATTTCTGGCTGCGACTCTGAATGGGGGTCCTGAGTCTATAAAAGTTAAAAACGCCTGACATGGCCTATTAATATTATCTTGCCCCACATTTGGCATTACAGAAAAGCACAGGATGTCCTCTATAAAACAAATGCATGCATGTTCTGAGTAATATTAGCAAAAACGCATTACCAAAGATGAATTGTTAGGATAAGAACTGAAACTTTTTTTTTTGGAAATGTTATGGAGTACAGCTGTAAATTATAAAATTGCCTCATTCACGTGAGTGATTAAAAATATGATTGATGACAAAAACATTCCTGATCAAGATGCTTCAAGCAACGTGTGACATCAGCTTTCTGTGAATGGGAAAAAAAATTATGTGTGTTGGAGGGAGGTCACTTTCACCAGGTGCGCTGGAGCTTTGTTCACAAAGAGAAAAACAATAAAGTTAATCCTGTATTACCAGTGCGTGTGTGTGTGTGTGTGTGTGTGTGTGTGTGTGTGTGTTAAAATATAGTGCTGAAGAGGAGGTTTTCCTATCCGCTTTGGCTAAAAAGAAAAGTAAATAGTTCTGAGTGATTTATGTGGTGGGGCGAACCTTACGCGTCAATGGATCCTGAGTAGTTACTCACTCAAAAATAAACACAGACACGAGGTGTGGTGACTCACGCAATACATTTTACGCACACGTTTGGATGTGCTTTAGAAGTTGCCGTTTAAAATTTCGATCAAAGCATATTTTTTTTCTCTGTAATTTAAGGTCATTAAGAATAAATTAAAGATGAGTCTAAATGTAAAAAGACTGGTAACAAGTTGTGACAACACAAGCAGACAAGAAGGAACCGTTTTTAAAAGCATTAAAATGCCAAGATCTCCTGTATTTCAATCTTGTCAATAAACCAATTAAAACCCTTGACAAACGTCTTTACTGTTTATTCATTCATTAATTGAACAAAGTTTGTGTTTGTGGGTTTCTAGTTTTGCTCACCTTTTGGACTGCGCCTCTGACGGGTTTCTGTCTCTCTGCCTCCTGTTTTTGAACCAGTTGCTGACCTGTGTGAGGGACAGTCCTGTGATCTTGGCCAGATTCCTTTTCTCGGCCGGGGATGGGTACCGGTTCTGCTTATAGAGGTCCTTCAGCGCGTTCCTGGAGCGCTCTTTGAAGCAGTACACCGTCTCCTCTCCATCCCAGATGGTCCGGGGCAGGGGAAACTTCCGTCGCAGGCGATATTTATCCACTGCGCCCAGCGGTCTACCGCGGGCCTTCTCCGCCTCCGTGTACCGGGCTTTGTACCATAAGTCCTGCAGGGCAGAGTGGCATGAGGGGCTGAAACTGTGGCTCTCCAAGATGCTGTAAAGCTCCTGGTAGCGCGCCTGGTGGAAGGCCACCAGCGCCTGAGCGCGGAGGATACTCTCGTTACCGCGCAGCAAGTCGCTCTGCGGGAGAGACCACAGAAACCGGGCGAGTCGATCCACGTTGCCCCCCTGCTGAAGCGCCTCGCAAACACATGCAACCTGCTCCGGTGAGAAAGCCAAAGAGGCCGCGGCTGCTGCGGGTGAAGTGTGCGCAGACAAAGAGTCCATAGTGGGCATCTTGCGCTCCGGTGGAGAGGTCTGCTGCTGCCCGACGAGCATCCCGGTGGCCACTGGAGTGTCCAGAATGAGGAGTTTGACGTGCCCCCGACTGTCCGTGGAGCTCTCGAGAGGCTCCGCGTACTTCACATTTTCCTTTTCGATCTCGCCTGCCACTGTCACTTCACTAGAGGAAACAGACATTGTTTTTATTCTTCACCTCAGATTCCTTTAGTCGGTCACCCCGCCTCGTTTCTGCCCAAAGCTGATCCGGTTACCCGTGCGCCATGCGAGTGATATCGGGTGTCTTTGTAAATGGATAGCTTTCCCCTTTCGCTCCAGCAGCGTGACTTCTCAGCCCGATAGTTTGAGTGGGACACACATGATTGGCTACACGAAATTTCGAAAGGGGCGGGGCGAACGCAGTATAATAATAATAATAATGGATGATCAGGGATGCCCGACGTGCAAGACGACCAAATACAGAAATCTATCTCTGAAGCTGATGGTGAATGTGTGTGGACACACGCTGTGAGTACCTGCTGTCAGAGCTCTTATTCAAACCTGTGCAGGCTTTCTTCGTGATGGCAGGGCTCTACGCTTACTTTTCTTTTTAGGAGCACTTGTGCTCCTAACTTAAAAAATGTAGGAGCACGTTTAAAATTTTAGGAGCACCTTCTAATCAATTATCCAAAATGTTATCAAAAAGTAGCCTTCCCATTACGAGGTGATATTTGGCTCCTCTAACTTTATTAAAAGTATGTCATCTTTTGTCAAATTCTTAAAAAAATTATATTTTATAAGCTTTTTAAAAATTGTAATTAAAACGACAGAATAAGAACAAGTAGAATAAGAAATATAAGTTACCAATCAAATTAAATCAGTATTAACAAAATTAATGTGTAGAGGTGGCACAGAAGAACACAAAAGTGGCTTGGTGTACTTTCAGACATTTAATGAGGCTCAGAAGTGGAATGAGTGCAATTAAATCCATCAATTCATGATGATATTAATGTTTTAAATATAACATTTTGAATATAGAAATATTAAATGATTTAAATAACTGAAAGGATACTTTTAAAATGAAATAAACTGCCAGCAGGTGGCGGTAAGTCACTGATTTTTATCACTGAATCATTCATTCAATTGATTAATTCGAACGGCTGATTCATTCAGGAATGAATCAAGTGACTGTCTTTATGAATGGGTAATCATGAATCACTGACTCACTAGATTCATTAAAAAAAAAACGTTCATTCATAAACGAGACACCGCCGTGTTTGAATGGAGATGCGCAGCGGCTGTGCTGTGACTTTGTTTTAAACTATTTTCAACGACGAAATAGAGCAAAATCAGACAATAGTGTTATAGTCAGACAATGTAAGTCACTTAATATTAACTTCTTGTTTATTGAATTGTATTGTATTAAATCAGTATCACATTTACAAACTCCTTTAAAAATCATTAAAAGCTGGCACTCATCTTAGTTCATCTCGATCTCACATCTATAATCAACGAAGCTCTATACTGCGCAATGAATCTCTCACTTTGCTTATGAAAGGATTCGTGGAATATGTCTGTGATACATCACTCAACGCTGCAAAAACACGTAGAAACATTTGAAGCTCCCCTGAGCGCAATCACAAGTATGATGATGATCGGGTCAGTCGCACTGGTGCTCCTAAAAAAATGTTTATAGTCGCACGCAGTAGTTTTCAGTCGCAAATGCGACTGAAATGGTCGCACTGTAGAGCCCTGGATGGCCAAGACTAAAAGTTTTATTATATGCGTCTGGTTCGTTTTACTTGTATAGTAAAGTGTTACAGTGTTTCAACCTGTGAGTGCAGTAAACCGATGTTTTTATGACATCTAACCTTTGTTTGGAGACTCTCCTTAAAAAATGTTACCATGGTAACCATAGTTTCAATCGTTACTGTAAAATCATAATAAATTAGCATGTGATTTACTTCAGATATTTTAAAGAGCTTTTATAATCATTTACATTTCATAGTTGTTTTGTATATGACCAAGATGTAGCGACAATGCAGTGACAGTTCTGTCAGTTGACCTAAATTTGAAATTTTTATTCTAGTAATATCAAATTTGTAACAGTGGTATTTTGGTGGAAACTATCACAATGATAAATATGTTAAGGATGAATACAGACAAACGTCTGTGTGTTCAAACTACAGTCATGGCCAAAAGTTTTGGCAGTGACACAGGATGCTTCACTGTTGGCACAACATAGGACTCATGGTAGCGTTCACCTTTCCTTCTCCGAACAATCGATTTTTTCAGATGTCCAAAACAGTCAGAAGGGAGCTTCATCGGAGACGGTCCTGGCGCTTGCTGGACACTCTGGGACGTCCTGAAGACTTCTTCACTGCAGTCGAACCTCTCTCCTTGAAGTTCTTGATGATCCGGTAAATGGTTCTTTCAAGTGCAATATTCTTTGTAGCAATTTCCTTGCATGTGAGGCCATTTTGATGCAAAGCGATGATGGCTGCACATGTTTCTTTGGAGGTAACCATTGCTAACAAGAACACAATGATTGGAAGCACATCTTCCCTCCTTTTACAGCAATCAGTCTGCTCTTACAATCTAATTAGTATGATAGTGATTTTACCTGACTAGTGCTCATTCACACTTTCACATGTGCTGCTGATATGATTAGTCAATTAATGTTATCTGGTCATTTTGTGTCAGGATCAAAAAACAGTGAAATTAGTTTTTTTTTGTTTTTTGTGAAAAGTTCATTTTTTGGCCAATGAAGCTTTTTGCATTTATTTAAAATGCATGTGACCACTCTACACAATAATCTAGAAAGAATGTGAATGAACACCACAACAGCTTAAGCAGCAAACATTGCACAACACAAAATTTATGTCACTGCCAAAACTTTTGGCCATGACTGTAGCTATTCATTTGGTTCATGAGAGTAGTCATTTAGCCACAGAGAGGGTGTGTGATGTCATGGGTGATGTGTGTCTGAAGTCATGTGACTCCTGCTCCGGATGCCCTTGACCTGCAGAGAACTTAAGGACTCACGGTGGACTGCTGACCTGAGACTCAGACTGTATATGAATACATTACACACTGATGACACACAGCTGGAGACAGTCCAGCACACACTCCCCCGGTCATTTCATGAGAGTTTACGTCGTATGCAGAAAATCAGGACAAAGGAATCACAGCTAATAAATGACCGTAGTCTGTGATTAAATACAGATGATGGAGTGGAAGTAGATGTTGCTTGTGTGTTTCTTTCGCTATGGGCCTTTTTGGCCCTTGGACTTTGGAGAGAAAAATAAACTCTTACGGTTTTTCTCAATCAGTCTTAACATTCTCTAAGGCCCCGTTCACACGGAGACGCGTTTAGCTCTATACACATAAATGTTGTATCGTATTGGCGTTTCGTCCAGATGGATCCAGCTTTTGGGGAGAGTGAAACCGATATTTTTTTAAACCGGGTCCCAGAGTGGATAAATCTGAAAACGCCACCCTTGCGTTTTCGTGTGGACAGCGAATCCGTATATTTTCTGAAACGACGTCATCAGCCCACGTCTCGCCTCTAGTCAGACACAGCTACATCACATAACAGCAACAAAAACATGAACAAACACTGAACGATTGTCTTTTTATTAACTAACATTAACACAGATTAATAAATGTATTGTTCCATGTTCGTTTGTATACCGCGCGCAAGGTTTATGCGCATAGTCCAAGTCTTATTCTCCTTTTTTAGTGCATCTCTGTGGCAGCATTACAGCGTCACATGCTGGTCTGGCATGTATACTACATTGTTTTGTGTCGGTTTTGTGGTTTCGTGCAGACGCAGATATTTCTTGAGACAAGGAGAAAAAAAAGATCAGATAGGGAGAGCTCTGGCTTCGTGTGGACGTAGCCT